ACTTTGCAGGCTGGGCGAGAATATCGAATAAGTGTAACTTGCTCTATCATCCAAAGAAATGATCACCTTGTCGCCTTCCTTCAAACCAAGCTTCTTAACAACCTTTTTCCATCCACTTCCCAGGGGAACGAGGCGATCACGTTTTCGTCCGAGCGAGAACGTGACGGGGAGGGGCTCACGATTTCCACCCTTCAATATCGCATCAGCTTTTCCAGTTTGCCCCCATAATGTCGCAGGCAAAAGATGACGACGTGTCTGCATTACAGCTTTTGGAAAGACAAGTTTTTTGAGATATGAGTGGCGGACAGTGATAGAGGCAAGCACGGCATCCGCTTCCGCCATTAGAAACTGATTCAAGCTCAACTGTGATGATAGGAAGAAAGATTGCTGTGGGTTTGAGAGACGCAAGGTATGTTATGGAAACATTTATCGAGGGCAGGTACCAAAAAATACCAAGTAGATGGGGAGTTATAAAGGGGGAGTTAAGCGGGTAAGGTACCGGTCAACTAAGGAAGGAAGTACTTTGTATGATTTTTATATTATATTGCTAACGTCTCGTGGTGACGTGGAGTGCCCAGTTGTTTGCAGCTGACTGACGTGTATCATTCGTTCTTTTAGAAACCAAGTGTTAGTCATTCAAGCACGTGTTATTTTTTAAAGGGGAGTTATAAAGGGGAGTTAAGCGGGTAAGGTCAACCAAAAAAAAACCTTAGTTAAGCGGCAAACTAAGTGATTATATATGAAGCCATCATGTAGATGTATCCTTGAAAATATGTGTTGAAAGGTTGCTTGTGGATGTTGGCTTCATTTATAATCACATATTTTCAAGGATACATCTAGATGATGGCTTCATATATAATCACTTAGTTTTTTCTTTTAAGGGTATCTAGAAGAATTGGTTCTAAATTGTTTGCAGCTGACTGATTTGTACGCATTCCTTCTAAATTGTATATAGAAGAATTGGTTTCTAGATAAGTCCTTCAACCAATGACAAATTTTTTTAAATTATGAAACCAAACTTATCCATTTGAGGTTTTTCTTTTTTTAATAGAATTGTAAATCTTTTTTTTAGAAGTATTCAATATATAGTAGAAATTAATATATATTGGTATGAATTTAATAAATTCTTACATTAATTTTTAACTTCACATTTTAAAATTTAAAGAGTTTTCTTTAAAAATTCAAGTGTTGAAATTTTAAATTGAATGACTAAAAGTTGACATAATACTTATAATAGTAATTGATTTTAAATTTTAAATAGTAGAGATCAAGTTATACTAAATTAGATTTAACAAAATTTTATATCAACTCTAAACTATGTACCTTAAATTTTAAGAAATTGTTTTGAAAATTCAAATATTTCATTAACTGTTAAAATTTTAAATTAAAGAATTAAAAATTGCCATAACACTTCTAACCATTTATATAGAGGAGTAACCTTACAAAGTAAAAAACTGAACATTTTTGGAAAAAAATAAAAATTCTAGTTAGTTAAATCATAATCATGATTACTAAAAGTTGATAAAAATAAAAGTGAAGGATTATTGATCCCAATGAAGCAGTTAGGACTACATTTTTGTCTAAAATTTTCGACATATACTCATTACCATGTCACCGAGAGAAGGAACCCACCAGGCTGCAGCCGTTTGCTGCAGTACACCTCGGCTCCTTCCCTACCTTTAATCATTACACTAATCTAACCTAATCAAACACTTTCATTAACAAAACTCTCTCATTAATTATTTAATTATTCAAAAAAGAAAAATCATTGCAAAAAATTGTCTTTAACCGCTGTGGTTGATTATCTCATCATAATCGGCATGAATCATTATGATTAACTATCCCACAATATAAATAAATAATAAATTTAGCAATGCAATAATGTTCAATTTCCTAGGGATTAGTACTTCATAAGAATATCGTAGC